CACAACCGTACACGTACATCATTAAATCATGTTTGTAGAAGAAATGTACGATACGATATCCACGAGTAATATTACTTTTAAACTTAGTTATGTGATTTATTGTTGTTATATTAAAAGTGATTTTCAAGTTTGTATAAATGGTAAATACCACGCCATTCTTAACTCTATTCCAGCCAGGAAACGTGAAGTCACACTTTTTCTCCCTTACTTTGACCCCAGAGATGCTTGTATCTGATTGGCTTTCACACAAAAGAGGTCCCAGCTCGCTGGCGACCCGCTTGCAACCGGCTGTTCACATGGATCGAGAGCGAGCTGCATCGAGAGCCGCTCGAGAGCGGCTTGTCGTGGGTCACCCACGACAAAAACCGCTCTTGAGCGGTTGTTCACATGAAGGCCTGACTCGCGAGCTAAGACATGTGAACGCGGTATTATATGATAAACAACAGAGCTCCTACAGTATATTCCGCAGGGGTTTGATCTTTAGTAGATATCAAATGAGAGACATTTTGTACTGCCATTGTTATGAATTTTACCTCTTTAACTAAGTGTTTCTTTACTTTGTTTAACCCATTAGCACCTAGACGTGCTAATGATAAAACTTTAAAATTGTACTTTAAATTTAAATATATACTTTTGAGTAGTAACTATAATGCTTCATCACCATAGGCAATATCAATATATTTAAATGTTTCGCTGAGCAGAATAAAATAATATTAAATAAAATGGTCAGGGTAGCGGACGGAAAGTGGCGGGATGGAAATTTTTAAAATTACCCCAAATTTGATGCTTTCTTTTATCTGTAAAATTGAAAAGAATATTAACATTGCTGATACCTATTATTCATGCCATAGGTGTATGGAACATTTTAAGAAGGTAAAGACAAAAAGGTTTGGAGAAATACACTGATATGTCTAATCATCATTATAGGTATAGACCATTATTTGCTGTAAGCTTGTATTTTAAGGGGTCATTTATACCCCCTGCACATTTTTGGCAGAAATGGCAGAGTTATAGTACTAAAGAGCTCTATAATGATGGCATCACAACAACATTTGTGGAATCACATCAATAGTTTTACATTATTTAAAGGTATTATGTAGCTTTCAATGTTCTTATGGTAGCGGGACGGAATTCCAAAAGGTGGCAGGACGGAATTAAACAATTATTTTGGTTTAAAATTGTTTAAAATATTCCAAAATTACTTTTTAAGCCAAAATCATAAATTACACTTTTAAAATCGTAATATTGTTAAGAATTATGGAAATGGAATCGATGCAAACTGAAAATATCAGCAAATATTAGGATTTCCGTCCCGCCACTTTTACTAAGTACTTTCTTAAGTTTGGTCACATGATACACAAAAAATTGGCATATTATCACAAAAACAATATCAGCTTTAAATGCCCAGATAATTATTCCTTTAAGTGACATTAAATAATTTCATAAACTTTTAAAAGTGAAAATTTGGTTTTAGGGTTGACAGGTTTTGGATTACACCCTGAAGTCATTAACGTTTTGGTTATGACATCTTACCCTAAACAGTGCGATGCATCTCCTACTGTATGCTTTAAATTAGGAATTTCATAATGCTTTTCACTATCTTATATCAAGGTAAAAAGACAATTTACGTGAACCGTTAGGGTGTACCCAGGATAATGGTCTTGGAGCCTATTTTCAAACAGGCATTATGCCACTGGTCAAGGCTCCATTGTGGAGTTCTGGGAAGTAGTAGAAGGTGCTCTTTGGACCCCTAACATATAGGCATATATGCTGAAAGTAATACGTCTGAATTGTTTCTAATATAATGTAAATTTTCTTTTCGAGTTCCAGTTCTCTGAACTAAGTACAGTATTTTAAATGTTGTATTAATCCATATTACATCCATATTACAGCTTGATGCGGTGTTTATAGATGAACCATCAAAGAAAGAAGCTTTGATTGCATTGCTTAAACAGTATGCTCGTGATAAGAAAGTTGATAATTTTGGTCGAGCATTAGCAGCCCTTCTAGATTCAAGTAATCAAAAACAAATCTTGGATGACGTCAGGTAATGTGTGTATTCTGTCCTTTTTTAGTGTCTTCTCATATTCTATACAGTAATTAACATGGCTATTTGTATTAGAGTAGTTTTGTATGACCGTGGAAAGCAAACATTATTCAGCATTGTAGACTTAAAATATGTCCATACATTGTATTGTACATGTTTCAATATCATATTTTTTCCTGTGTTGAAGACAAACCCTTTAACATATATATTTACTGTAGTAAAAATTATTGACATACTTAAGTCTGTTAAACTTTAAGGTGAAATTCTTAACGTTATAGCTGTGTTTAAGTTTGTTTTTTTAAGGTGAAAATCCTATGTTATAGCTGTGTTTTGTTTGCAAACCTTAACATTCAATTGAGTATTAGTAAAGTTTGTGTAAATTTATGTTGCATTAAAATGTTGGCCCTTTTAATTGACAGGGTATTCGTTCCACCATCTCAAAAGGACAGGTTTAGTCTGTACTTTAGTAAAGATTCTCAGTATGCTGGCAGAAGGTAAGGAATTCAAACGTCAATTATGTAGAATCAGAGTTTGCAAGTGGTAAAAATACTTGACAGATAGAGGATTTTGCTAATACCAGTGTTCTCCCGAAGCCGTTTTAGCCGTCAATTTTACCAGTAAAAGTAACTTACCAACCAGTTAATATTGTGTGTTGGTAGAATAAAAAAGCACTTATTAGGCGTAGGTAGCCTAGGCTGACCTTCTTTCAATAAACGAATATCATTCCAGTCCAGGCCTAGTCTTGGACTAGACTTTAATCTGCAAGTGTGGAAGGACTATTAAATAAGTCCTAACTAAAGAAAAAAAAAATTATCTTACCTTTTTGTCACATCGTAAGTGCTATATTATTATTATCATTATTATTGTTGTTATTGCTAATCTTTTCTCCTCCCCCTCCCCCGCCATGTACACCGTCTCGGTATTTTTAATTTTAAGTTTGGTGCAGAATTTATTTATTAAAAAGTGACTTAAAACTACATGATGAAACTACCGATCACTAGACACAATTCTGGTATTTTTTAATAAATGTTATTACATGGTAAAAACTAACTCCCTTTGCATACCATCCTGGTATTTCATGTTTTGGGGCTGTAAATGTTAAACATTCTGTGTTGGAGTACCAATGTTTTCATTTATTTATTTGTTTGCAGTTTCAAGATAAAAAAGTAAAAACTAATGTGTATGGGTACTGTTGATTGTGTTTAGTATCTGTTGGGTAAAATTTAGAAATTGATCAACTGGTTGGAGCAATTACTACAGTAATCTATGTGCTGTTTTCCTGGATGATAGGCCTATGGTCATACTGAGTTCATCTTATATCTTTCTGTATAGGTACTATCAAAAGATCCCTGTTATATTGATTTTGATTACCATACCAGTATTAAACAATCACTATAGCATACAATAAATGATAGTATGCTTTGTAAAAACAGCTCATGTAAACAAATGCCTCCTTAAACAAATTGGTGGCCTTTTATATTTACTTTTTCTTTTAGACATCATTTTGTGTGTTGTTTATTCTTTTCTATTTTGATGGTTTTTTTTGTAACTGCACCACTTTAAAAGTTGTACACGTATATTGAAAATAGCTGCAGTATAAGACTAAACCTGGTATTCTTAAAACCAACTTTAGTTTTGTTGCAGTCACGTAGATGGCGCAGACTGCGCTCGGGTGCAACTATATTATTTCTCCAAAGATAGAAATTTTTCAGTGACTGTTCAAATTCTCCATCGTATTGTTAACAACTAATAGTTATTATTATAGAAAATTAATTAAGCGAATGATGGTCTATTATGATTTATGAGAAAATACGTTTTTGATCCACAGACAGCAGCTTAATATTCATCCGCGTTACCGGATTTCTAAAATTTCGTCTGCTATTAAAATTAGCCCATTTCATTGGTTTAGTTTGATAGTTGTTGCTTGCCAGCCATCTTCTGCTGAACTAAAACTAGGACTTGATTTAGTTGTAATTAAAATTGCGTTGTTTGTTAATACAAATTGAAGTTGTTTGAAGTTCTAGTTCGAAGTTCAACTAAAGTTCGTTTTAAGAATACGTTAATAACTAGATAAATAATAAATAATTAATTCAAAAGTTTACTATTATTTAATATAAAAAAATAAATGCAAATAAACGATTGTAAGTAGAATTATTATTTTATTTTTTTAGACTGGCAGCTATTGTATTTTTAAGTGTCTTGACCATAGCATGTTATTTTATTATTATTATTGTTTGGCAACTGGCTGCCCTTGTGGTAAAGTGATGATATCCTGTGAATGATTTTAGAATCAGATCTATTGACAAGCTGTCATATATTGATTGTGTTTTAGTTTAGTGCAAACACAAAGAGTCAAGCTTGCATAGATCATGCAGTATTCTGGAAAACAAAAGAAACTTGTATACATAATATGCATTACTCTGGAAAATGAAATTATTCTGTTGGACAATAGAAGTAAATAGTAATACCAAGGCATGAAGTTGATTGATGAAGTTAATATTCTAACAATATTTGTATTTAAATATTCTGTACCTGTTCCTTTAATTTTATGGTAATATTATAATAGGTTTTTAAAAAAGTATATATTTATGCATTTCTAGGTTTATTTATTTTCTTATAGATATAGAAATTATAATTTTATAGTTGAAAATATGTTGAAAATTTAGGTTTTTTGTTGTTGAAAGGCTGTTGATATTGTTCTGTCTAGTTAGTTAGTTAGTTTTTATTTGGAATCACTTTTATTACAGTGGCACACATTAAAAGTTATGGTGCATCCAAAAGACCAAAATCAACAGAAAATTGAAAAGAAGAAAACAACTTAACTACGAAAATCATTACGGAACTAAAGGTTCGGTAAATAAAGCCAAATGGCAACGTTTCATCAAACAATTTACAGTAGTATCACAAGGTGTTAATTCCCAGCTAATATAGTTTTATGTCCGTCTAATTCTAGGTGGGCCAGCTGATTGCGCTGGCCTTAGACCTGGGGACAAGATATTAAAGTTGAATGGCTTAGATGTAAGGAAGAAGACACATGAACACCTGATTCAGCTTCTAAAAGGAAGTGGAATGACACCAACACTCCTGATAGAGACAGGGAATCCAGCAAATCTCCCTCCTCCAGTACAGCCCCAGGAAGCTTGTGAGTTCTCATTTCACTTTTCCTGTGAATTACAGTTGTGAAAAAATATTATGTATCTATCATATAAAAATGTCAAAGGATTAATGTGATCTAGTTATTCTTGTGTCTCTTAAGCCCCATTTACACTAGACACGATTACGACACGACAAGGACATATCATCGCGTTGTTTGTATTCTTCAACACTGCACGCATCTGTATCCTGTCGTCGTGTCGTAATCATGTCTAGTGTAAACAGGGCTTTAGACGAGAATATTTTTATACCTTGTTTAGCGAACCCGATGCTAGTGGAGATTTCAAAGTATACATACAATTTTATTTTTGGCCAGTTAGCACACCCTCCGCCATGAAAAAAGTGGAAATTTCAGAAACAAATTATAAAGTTTTTCTTTATTTTTATTACACCCACCACGACATTGAAATCGCCAAAAATAAGATATGTATATTTCTTCCTCCACAAATTTAAAGCATTTAACCATTCTATTACTATACTGTTTACATTCACCAATACAATTTTATTTTTATTTTCTCCTCCCTCTGGATGTTTTTGGCAAAAATATTTGCTAAATAAGAAAACAAAATTTATTTTAAATTTTTCTTTCCACCCTCCTCTCACGGTCTTTAAAAATATAAGTTTGCAAAACAAAGTTTGAAAAAAGTCTCGCCTTAACTAGTGTCAGCACAAAACTGTTAATATTTGGTTATTTAAAAAAAAATGTTTTGCAGTATATGTATCATCCACAATGAGCATGATGAGTGGTATGTCAGTAACAAGCCAAGTATCATCAGCTACTGGTTGGCTTTCTGAGAGTATGCACAGTAAGGCCACAATTGAAGATATTGAGGAGCTGAGAGCTGGTGGAATATCTAGACCTGACTTCTTTACTTTGGGAAGAACATTCAAAGAGATGGTATGCTATTAAAATCCTGATAATTCACTTTTTGTATGTCAAATAATATCACTGATATTTTAGGTACTTTATCCTTAGCCATCCAAATCCTATTTCAAATATTTCATCCATAGTTATATATCGTTGCTCACATCACGAACTAACACAATCAAAGTAGATTGTGTTAGTTCGTAAAATCAAGAAAGTGCATCAAAATACGCGCTGTTGTTGTTGTTAAGGACTTTTTGTGTGGTAAAGAATACAAAATTGCTTGACAACCAATATGCGCTCGTTTTTACGCGCTACTGTGATTTCACGAACTAACACAATCGACTTTGATTGATATGATTTGATTGATGATATGTACCAAATCCTACAGTCATTTACCAAGAACTGTACTTTTAACAATTTACAATTCCTTGGTCATGTACATGCCAAACCTTGCAGACAATATTCTCTCCCTTATGCTTCTGACTTTCATTGGAACCTTCTTCCAAATAATTTATTCTTCCATTTGAAACTTAAAATGACAGCGTAACCCATTGTTTGCAGGTGGTTTTTACATGCATGGAGAACATCATCGACAAATCTTCAAGGATTTAAAATGGGTTACAGTGCCCTTAATGAAGTACAAATGATGTTAATACTGTACTCTTGTTTATACACTTTTAAAGAGTAACCAGCTATCCACAATAAGTCAAAAACATCCCCCCAAGTAAAGCTTGCATAGAATCAAACCCAAGCAAAGTGTGCTAACTGAAAATATAAGTAGAAAATAAGAAAACAAACAAAACAATTAAAGAAATATGATCAAGCAAGTTGAGAGAAACTATTGAAAAAGGTGTTTTTAGATGGGCTTTGAACTGCCTAAGCAAATCAAAAGATCTGGGAGAATTAGGCAGACCATTCCAAAGTTGGGCAGCAATTGAAGGGAACACTATTTAATTTGTTGTTTTTATTGACATGAGGCATGGAAAAGAAAATAGTTCCGACCATGAAAATTGTCTGAGGAACAAAAAGGACCATAAAAAATGCATCAAGCACCGGCTTTTTGTTTGTTTTTTTGTTTGTATAGTTATTTTTATAAATTCTCCAAGAAAAATTTGCAACTGCCTGTAACCAGAGCAACAACATCACAGCATAACTAGAACTTAGGAATACTCAACATTGTAGAGCATTTGACAATAGGAACCATTACAGCATACAGGAACTAAAACTTTAAAAAAAGAAACACTCATCATTGTAAGAGCACTTCCAAGTAGCCACCGTTACAGGATATATAGAACTTTCAAACAGAAACACTCAGCATTGTAGAGCATTTCCCAACAACCACTATCACAGCATAACTAAAACTTTGAAAAAGTAAACACTCAATATCCAAGAGCATTTCCCAAAAGCCACCATTACGGCAGAAAGTGCATATACACTTTTTACACTATAGACAAAATGCAGTACTTAACAGTTACAAAAGCACCATGGACAGACAGGAACAGGTCTGTAACCTCCTCTAAACATGCTACCCCAGAAAAAGGTGAGAAAAATGTAAAAAAAACTAAGGAAGTACAAGTAAGCAGATAAATAACATAAACAGTAATAATGTTATATTGTATTAAAAACTGGAACTTAATATTACCATTGAGTGACATTTGTCCACCTCTCAGAACTTCTTCAGACAACAGACCAGTTGCATTGATCATGAGTCAGGTGATGAGGAATACTGCGCAGCACCGTGTCCCATGTTCTGGATAGTCAAAAACGTATTCCTCCTACTTGGTTCCAATCATGATTCTCTACCCCTCCCAAATCACTTTTTTTTAGCCTTTATGATTTAGATGTCCCGAAAATTTGCGTATGTTGCATACTTCTGCTCATTCTCACTCCATCTCTACAGTATGTAGCCTAATCGGGCCTCCACTGCCGAGCATGTTGTATTGTCCAACATTCTAAAATCTCAGATGTGCGGTATAAAAGAAACATGTATTGTGTAAATTATAATTTGTAAGTGCACAGACAATAGGAATTCTTTTGAGAAAAAACTACAACCAAAGAGTATAGAACTTTAACACACAATCCACAGTATCTCGAAAAGTACTACCACAACTTGGAGGACGTTTTTAAAAAGAATGTCAAAGTCTTTCATAATGCATGCTGCTTGTGTAGAACGCCTGTTCCAATTTGTAGCACTATTCAAATTCTAATAGAATATCCCAAAATAGGGATGTTAGCTTGTTTCTCATTTCATTGTCTGCATGTCAACTATAAAAAGGAAATATACATTTCTATTTTGACTATAGAATGCAGTCTTTGATTGTAATAGATCAAACTTTTCCCACTAGACAAAATTTTACAGAGGCCCCTAGCATATCAATTTAAAGCGTTGTTTCTTTTCTTCACAAATTTAGATGCTTCTTAAGGAGGTACTTTTGTACTGTAGGTTGGAAGGAAATTTGAATGTGTATAACAATTTATTCACAAATTTAGATGCTTCTTAAGGAGGTACTGTACTGTAGGCTGGAAGGAAATTGTATGTGTATAACAATTTCATTTTAAATATTAATTCATATTTTTTTTTATGTAGTATTGCTATTTGTGTTTCTTTTATAAATGTAGATGGATCATCACCTGACATCAAGAGAAAAACAACTGATTAAGAAGGCATTACAGGAATATCATAGATCTAGGTGAGGTAGACAAAGCCACAAAATTTTACAATTTGTCATATCAGGAGCTGATAAACAAAATGATTAATAACAATGCTTAAATATGAACAAGATGTTAATATTGTATTAAGCATAGCCCTTCAATGAAAAAGCTACTTTTATTCAGTATGAAAAGAGTGTCTGACGGGATTCAAACCTGCAACCGCTTGCTATCAAGCCGGGTGTTATATCCATTAGACCAGGGAGACCAACAGTACGTAGTGGAGCTATAGATGAGCTATAAAGCCTTGTAGATTACAGCTTGGAATTTATTTCATACAACTGAATAAAAGGAACTTTTTTCGTTGAAGGGCTCTGCTTGATGCAATTATAACATCTTGTTCCTATTTGAAAACTGCCATTATTATCTCCTCCTGGAGATATATGTTTTCATTTGTGTCGAGTGTTAGGTATGACCCAATGAAGAAATGATTACATTTTGGTGACGGTCCGGATAGGGTGTGGATGTGAGGACCAATTAAAGGGATTTAAGAGCAAACACTCTACAAACATGTTATATTTTCATTGCAGATTTTTTGGGCTCAGTACGGACTCCAAAAGTATGCATTTTTTTAAAGTTTTAAGGCGTATGCGGATTTTATAAGTCCGCAATGACGATATAACGTGTTTACATCAGATATTTAAAAAACGTATCAACCTATCTGAATGAAAAGTTTGTGAAATTTTAAACAAGTTACAAGGATGAAATTATTAAGTGTTGGTGGCGATCCATATTCGGGGGTGAATTTGAGGGTCATTTAAAGTTCTAAGGTTGTGTGTGTTTGTTGTGTTCAAAATATCTCAAAAATGGCTGCACAGATCTAAATGGAAGTTACAGGGAGTGTTAGGTATGACCCAAGCATGATGTGATTAGATTTAAGTGACGACCCGGAGTAGGGTACATTTGGATATCAGGACCATTCAAACGAGTTTAACCAAGTAGGAAGAAAGGAAGTGTTGTGACTTTATACTTTTTACAGAAGATCGGTGTTACGGTTAGGAAAGAGGATTGTTTAGTTGTTTTAAGGGCTCCTCTTCATAGAATTTGATGTCCATAAAGACAGTGGTAGAGCCTTTATCAGCTGGTTTGACGATGATATCTTCACACTGATGCAAATTAGCAATGGCCTAACTCTCATTTTTTGTGAGATTGTCGCAAAAATTTGGATCAGAGTGTGATTTTTCAAGTCCTCTTCAATGGCCTGAATGAAAGTTTCTAAATCTGGGAAAAGTTTCTTAGGTAGATACTGTACCAGGTACTTTTTGGTTTGAATTTGTTTACATACCCTGTGTTATCTGTGGTGTTGCCATCAGAATGGGCGAAAAATTTACGCCATCTTAAACGACGGAAGAAGTCTCCCAGATAGTTGCTGTGGTCACCCTGCCTTGATTTAGGGCAGAATTCCTCAGGATAGAAGTTTGGTTTCTCCTTCGGAAAGCTGACAGTTAATTTGAACAACTGAATTCATGTTGTTGCATGGATTATGATTTATGCGCTGAATGAACCTTCTCATCTTATAGCTATTGTTTCTGCCTACGGTAATACAGTAAACATATTATTTAAATGGTCTTCTTATACACACCCTACTTCAGATCGTGACCAAAATTTAAACACTTCTTCATTAAAACATGACAAACTATGCTGGAAAGTGTCATTTTGATCCACTGATCCATTTTAGAGATATTTAGGTCGGGGACCTAATGGCCCTCAAATGCACACCCGAATTCTGATCATCACCAACATTTCATAATTTCTTATGTTAGTAGAAAGTAATTAGCATATCATATTGCTATGGTTTCCATATATGTGACGCAGTTGATCGGCGGTTGGCTGTTGGAAATAAACCAGATCTTGTCTCCTCTCTATACAAGTTATGTTTGTGTTCTTGAATAACGCCTATAAAATCTCACATAGAATAAAGATTTTTTGCAAGAACACTGGAAACCTCAAAGTTTGGGTGTGGCCCTTAGTGTTAAATCAAGGATTCACTTTGACCCTCTGACCCATTTTTACAGCCACTCCAGATTTAGGGAATAAACTTTGATTAACCATTATGATTCACAATTCTTATTGCAGATATTGACCTATGACAGTGCTTAGAAAGATCATTTGGTTTTTTTTTTCATTTTTATGTTTTACTTTAATTAATTTGTTTTTGTTGAAAATCTAGTGTAATTTTTATTCTTTTGTCTTTGTATGTACTGAGGGTCCCGATTGATCAGTTCTGGTTGAATGGACCACCCTAAAAAAATATTGTTGAATTAAAATAAATAAATAAAATATGTTTTATTGCAGATATAATAACTTTTGACAGTGCTAACAATTCATATATTTATCTTCTGATTAAAGGAATCTGGATGGCATGATCATTAGTATTTTCCCTGTGCTTGATACCCATGCAAAAAAGACTATATGGCCATATATTATACAGATACTACCTGATGAGCAGCAAGAAGTCTGCAAGAAGAAAGTTATCTACCTGATAGACAGACATGCTGCAGGTACAAATAATCACTCACATCTAGCCATATATATAATTTACTAACTAATAAAAAACAAACAAAAATATGGCAGAGTACTTTTTGTTTTCACACACCACTGTTAATACACACTGACCCAACAGGCATTTGCATAGACAACGAAGTACCTGTTAGTTGGTAAAGCAGAAACTGTGTTAACATATGCCAAACTCCTATACTCACTGACCCAACAGGCATTTGCATAGACAATGAAGTACCTGTTAATTGGTAAAGCAGAAACTGTGTTAACATATGCCAAACTCTTATACTCACTGACCTACCAGGCATTTGTATAGATGACCAAATACCTGTTAATTGGTAAAGCTAAACACTGTTAATATGTCACACTCATACTCAATTGATCCACCAAGCATGTGCATGGACAACCAAGTACCTGTTAATTGGAAAAGTAAATCAATATGTCTTAAGATATGCCACACTTGTATACTCACTGACCCACCAAGCATATGCATGTACAACAAAGTACCTGTTCGTTAGTAAAGGAAAACAATATGTGTTAAGATATGCCATACTCATATATTCACTGACCCAGCATAGTCCTGTAAATCTGTGACAAAATTGTAATTAACCTAGAACTAATTGCAAAAGAAATATTTTTTGCGGAATTTGTTCCTGAAATATTCCCATATTAACATACTGAAAGTCTGAAAAAATCCAATTAGGGGAACAGTGTTAATTTTAAAGATATTTAATGAGTTAACATTCAACGATTTATTGTGTGACATCGTACTAATGCTGCGATGGAGCATATAAAAGCCTATTGTTGCTAACAAAGAAATAGTTCAGCATAATGGACACTGGCGCGCGAACGCAGTTGGATGAAACTTGACGCGTTGGTAACACAAAGATCATTACATGCAGCAGCTGTCCGATATCCTGCATTAAGTTTGTTTGTTTTTTGTTGTTGTCAGATATGTAGTTCGTTACATTTGTGGTAATTTGTACTTTCGTTAGTCGATTTGTACTGTATTAATATTAAAAATTAAATTCCATAGCCAGACATAGAACTAAGATCTAATAAAACCACTTAAGGAGTAAATATGTATATTCCTTGTGATAAACCAAATATTACTCACTGTGGTCGCGCGTCGCTCAAAATCATTTGCAAGTGGTCCAGGGGAGAATCCCCCAAAAAATATGGAAATTTATGGATTTCAAAGGCTTTTTAATCAATTTTAGAGTCTACTAATAGGTAGGAAATTGTGATTTTTCTGGTCATACTGCAAGTTTGAAGACAGGATATTAAAAAGCTCTGCATGTTCTAATTGAAAAAAAAAAAAAAACACTAGTTTTTGCAAATGTTTTGATCGGAGCCAGTGTTGGAGCCAGTGTTTGCACCAGCGGTTGGCAGGAGGGAGTCTACCCTTTGGTTTTGAACACTGCTGGTCAGGTTTTTCTCATAAATATATATTTTAAAAGTAGAGGGAATTTTTATATACAAAAATTTGTTATAATTTCAATTGTATGTTATAGGAACTGTCATCATGAAATTTGGAATAAAAATATATAAAATAAAAATGTGAGATCAAAAGATGATGCATTTATGGATGAAAGTACCAACACATAACTGTATTCAATTTTGGTGATGCTACCACAGATACGATCATGGTACAAACATTTATTATTATGCCTACCTACCAAATGATTAACAAAGACATAATTATAAATTGTTAAAATAGTAATAATAATAATAATATAATATGCAGAAATTTATAACGCCCCAATTCAAAAAACATTATCAAAGGCGCATTAAGGCACATCAAAGTATCATATCATTTTAGAAAGTACCCCGGTGTAATTTTGTGACACTGTTTAGTTTCTTGATTATATGTTGTATGGTAGGGGTTAGTTAGGAATGTATTTTTAGATTGCCTTGCTTGTATTTTTGTATTTTTTAGAGATTTTTTTTATCCAAGTGTGAGAACAGTGCACAAAACTTCGCGTTGATCATTGTGGTACCGACGCGCCTAGTCTCATTCAACTGTGTTCACGCGTGGGTGTCTATCTTTTTCAACATTTCTTTCATTAGCAACAACAGGCTTTCCTACGCTTCAACGCAGCAGCTGGGTGATATGACACAATAAACCGTTGGATATCTGTATTAAATATGTTTAAAATTGACAATGATCCCCTGATTGGATTTTTTCATACATTTAGTATGTTATTTCATGTATATTTCTGGAACAAATTCTGTAAAAATTATTTCTGTTGCGATTAGTTCTGGGTCAAACCACAGATTGACTGGACTACCAAGCATGTGCATAGACAACCAAGTACCATTTAATAAAGCTAAACAATATGTGTTAAGGGTGTACGGTAAGAATAGCCCCGGGAAAAATGGCCCAGGAAAAATTGGCCCAGGAAAAAATGGCCCCGGTAAAAATGGCTCCAAGTGACAGTTAGGTAAAAATGCCCCCCCCCATTATAAAATTCTGTATTAAAACTGATTTAAAAAAAAATCATTATATGTATTTTTTAAAACTTTTTGCAGGAATTTCATATTCAAAAATAAAATATTCAAAAATAAAAAAAAAAAAGCCATGAATAACACATTTTATTTTTTTCCCCATTGAAGTGTTAACAAATAGAACATTAATCAATAAATCAACATAAATCATGCATTTATTAATACTAAACTAATTTATTTGTGGCCAAATTCACGGAAGCGGAATCATAATTTTCCAGAAATTCAATTCGGGTATTGGTAACCCCCAAATTATTAACATCAAATTATTATTTTTTTTTAAGAAAAAGAGAGTTCTACAATCTCAATTAAAGGGTTTGGATGGGGTTTGCAATGTGATTTTGGAGGTTTGTGGTGTATTTGCAAGTATTTTTTCACAAAGAAAAATCAACATTTTAACCAAAAAATAGGTTCTTATGAATGTATTTAATTTTCATATTGATATACCAAGTGAGTCAATCACAATTGATTTGTTTGGTTTTCTACAGTGTGTTTTGGGAGGTTTGTGGGATTTAGCAATACCATTTAATCCTACCATAATTACCCTACCCTCGCATATTACACGCCATTTTAATTCTTAGCATAATTGCCATATTTACATAACTATGTATATATAGTATATCTCAGTTTACATTATTTAGTATAGTTTTGAAAATAATAAATTGACAAAAAAAAAAAATTTGGCCACTGGTTTCTGAGCAGTAGTAGGCACTTAGGTGAGGAGTAAAAACCAAGTATGGAATTAAATATGTTGCTTAAATAAATGTATTCCTAATTATTCATCTATGAGTTGCATATTTTGGTAGTTGAAGTACTGTATGTATGTCATTCCTCTACTTTGTTAGTGGAATAACGTTTTTCAAAACTTTTATTTCTACTATCAAAAAATGTTATTCAATTGCTATTGTTTTCTGATAATCTCTCAGTACAATCCCTCAGTACACATTTTGACCGTGAATATTTTTAACGGGGCCATTTTTTCCTGGGCCAATTTTCCGGGGCCATTTTTACCTACATTCATGTTAAGATATGCCACACTCTGTACACATTGACCTACCAAGCATGTGCATAGACAACCAAGTACCTGTTAATTGGTAAAGCAAAACAATATTTTAAGATATGCCACACTTAGGTTGTGTTTACGAACTTTCAACGAAACCGGATAAGTCAAAAATGACACAATGCCCAGAGGGTAGGTCATTAGATCGCTCGTTTACGAACCCCAAGTTATTCGGATACGGACAGAAGGTATAGGCCTCACGTCCCAACAAGGAAATTCAACAATGAATTATCTCGCCTTGCCTACGCTCGAACTCCAACCAATTCTAAAAAAACCCAGGCGCTGGAAATTCCTAGCCAACTGGGAAAATTACAAAAAAACAAAGAAAAAAAAAAATAGCCTACGGACTTACTACTACTGTACTTCTACTAGTTCCACTAGTGTTCAGAGCCGACAACGTGTCAACAGTGTGTGGTGGACAAGAAATGGGTCTATTGCCAAAAATTTCGTTCATCTCAAAATACGGCCATTCTGTTGTGGGGGGGGGGGGTTTCCTGACTTCCCGTTGGAGTTCCTTTCCTGGGTGTATTTTTTTGCGCAGGTTCTTGCATTTAGTATATCTGTGCGTGCGTAAAGTTATAACCCATTTCCCGCATCTTCTGTGCGATTTCTTTATAAACGGCGTTGTTCCGTCGGGTTCCATCAAAACCATCTTGTGTGGATGTCGTTCCCCATATGCTAATTAACGTTTGGGTTGCTTCGTCAATCCACCCACTCTGTTCAGCTGCAGCCATTACGTATATCGTTGTAAAAATAAACTTAACATATCGGCTTAAAAATTGGATAATATAATTTATTAACTGAGGACTACTCTAGCGATGTCACTGGACGAAGGCATGGATGAAAAGAAATGGTTTTGATGGAATGCGACGGAACATCGCTGTTTATAAAGAAATCGCCATTTATAAAGAAATCGCATAGAAGATGCGGGAAATGGGTTATAACTTTACGCACGCACAGATAGTTACCAAATGCAAGAACCTGCACAAAAAATACACCCAGGGAAAGTCAGGAAACCCCCAACAGAATGGCCGTATTTTGAGATGATGAACGAAATTTTTGGCGATAAGACCCATTTCTTGTCTGCCACACACTGTTGACACGTCTTTGTCGGCTCTGAACACCAGTGGAACTAGTAGTAGTAGTAAGTCCGTAGGCTATTTTTTTTTTCTTTGTTTTTTTGTGATTTTCCCAGTTGGCCTAGGCTCTAGTTTCTAAGGCCTGGGTTTTTTAGAATTGGTTGGAGTTTGAGCGTAGGCAAGGCGAGGTAATTCGTTGTTGAATTGCCTTGTTGGGCTGAGGTCGGCAAAGTATACACATTCAGAAAGATCGCATGGCTTAACAGAACAGCATGCTGTATCGTGTGTGACTGTGAAGTGTTTTTGTTTACTTGAAAGGTCTATACCAGCATACTTTTCGAGTGATGGAACTTCCGGTCGGTATCCGAATAACTTGGGGTTTGTAAACGAGCAATCTAATGACCTTACCCTCTGGGCATTATGTCATTTTTTACTTACCCGGTTTCGTTGAAAGTTCGTAAACACAACCACATACACATTAACCCACCAAGCATGTGCATAGACAACCAAGTGCCTGTTAATTGGTAAAGCAAAACTATATGTGTTAAGATATGCCACTCTCATATACACATTGACCCACCAAGCATGTGCATAGACAACCAAGTACCTGTCATTGGTAAAGCAAAACAATATGCCACATTAGTATACTGACTGACATACCAAGCATGTGCACTCACTGACCCATTATGCATGTGCATAGACCTGTTCGTTGGTAAAGGAAAACTATATGTGTTAGGATATGCCACACACATATACTCACTGACTGACCAAATATGTGCATAGAGAACCAAGTACCTGTTAATTGGTAAACAAAACAGTGTGTGTTAAGATATGACACATTCATATACACATTGACCCACCAAGCATGTGCATAGACCTGTTCGTTGGTAAAAGAAAACTATGTGTTAAGATATGCCACACTCATATACTCACTGACGGACCAAACATGTGCATAGAGAACCAAGTACCTGTTAATTGGTAAAGCAAAACAATATGTGTTAAGAATGCCACACTCATTGACCCACCAAGCATGTGTATAGACAACAAAGTACCTGTTCGTGGTAAAGCATTTTTTCACTCATTATGCTCTACAAAAACAGAAGATCCAATCATTAGTCATGTAACAAAACATGAGTAAATTAACTCTGAAAAGTGGCATTTTGAGTGGAGTTGGTTTCATACATAAGTAGAATTCCTGTTACTTGACAGGAGTTTAACCCAGGATCCTAGATTAGAAAGTAAGGGCCCGTTCGAGCAAAAAAATATCTGTGCGATTTACTAGTTAATTCACCAGTACACACTTTCTAAAACCGCTTGGACACTAGTATAATTACCTTACCATCTGGATTATCCGCGACAATTTTGACCACCAAATTGCTGGGTAGACTACCATGTATGGAATGACCTTGGAGCCGGAGGCAATGATAAATCAACCTTAATTATTTTTCCAAATGTTTTGTCCACAGCCCAGCGCCAAATTCAATAGGTTACGGCCCAGGCGTGGTTGCAGCTCCCCTTCGCCTCCTCACACATGCACGACGAAATCTAAATTTAGTAGCATCTGTAGATTTACCATTATTCGGAGAAATAAACTTGAATAAACTAGCCTACGTACAGATTTTAAAGCAGCCATTACAAGTTATTGAGCTACATTATCGTTCCACAGTGCCGCGCTGTGTGTACGTAATCTTGGGTCTAATTAGGAAGGACGACCTGTCTTTGTATATTTCAGAAATTCAAAGGTTTGTGTCTTATTGTAAAGATAACTTTCTTGAAATGAATACAGAGAAAACGAAAGAAATAGTGATTGATTTTCGAAAAAAGCGGGTTAAGGAAGAAAGTATCATTATTGAAAATAAAGAAATAGCACATGTTACATCGTATAAATATCTGGGGGTAATCTATGATAATCAACTGTCGTGGGGAATTTTCTGTGACCATTTAGTTAAGAAACTTAATGTGAGAATGTTTTGCTTTAGGAAACTTAATTCTTTTCAGGTCAGGAAGGAGATAATGCTGTCATTTTATAATTCTATTATTCTCAGATTACTTTGTTACTGCTTAGTTTGTTGGGGTGGGAATATTTCACAAGGTGATAGGGACAGATTACAGAAGTTTGTTAACAGGTTTGGGAAGATTATCGGTTCGGAACTGCAATCGGTGCACTCAGTCTACGAAGAACGACTAGTTAATTAGTTTGATAACGTGATGTCTGACGAAAGTCACCCGTTACATTCAACTATTGCTAGTTGCGTTATACAACGCAGCGGTAGACTGAGGGTACCAGCTGCTAACATGAACCGTTATTCTAACTCATTCATTGCGAGGGGCATTTACCTGTTTAATGGTAGATATGTAAGATAGTTATTATTTATTGCATTGAATTACTTTTCCTACTTAATTTATTGAAAGAGCAATGTAATTTCCAAGGATTTGGATTAATAAAGTGATGTCTATGTCTATGTCTATGTCTACGTGGGCCGGTTATAGCAAGGAGGTATATATGGTTATAGCAGCAGTAGCAAGTAAACAAAGAATGGGTTGTTGACCATGGGATAAGTTGAAATTTACTTACGGAATAATTTCGTTACACATACAGTATTTTACGGTCGACCACCTGCTGAGTGCACAGCGCGATTACCCGGTGAAATAAACGGAATACGGTTGGCGTTTTTTGCTCGAACGGGCCCTAAGTGTCTAACCTGAAAGCTATAGCTCCGCTACTAACTACATTGCACATACTGTAATAGTGTAGAACAGAGGAAGCACATGCTTTCATGTCATTGCTAGACAAAAAAAGGACAAGGGAAATATATAAAATTGATGAAGGAGTTGTGTTTATACATAATGATAATAATATCTTATTTCCTTCAAATTTATAACATCATACAAAAATGAAGGAGGAGGGTTCAGAACAAAAGAGGAACAAGTTACTATACCCAAAGGTTTTGTTTACCACAACATAAATGACTTAGTATATAACTTTAAAAAAAATCAATATCCTCATTAGAACATTTGGCAACATAACAGATTTAATAATGGTGTGGTGGTAATTAAACCTTTCTGACTTTATATTTAAGATATTGCTACATTTGTTACTTCACTGCATGAAATAACTGCATGATTTGTGTTATATATAGAAGCTGTTTATGGTAACCCAAATCGTTTGTGGTTAGCAAACACACATCCAGATGACAATGACAGCCAGATCAAGTACTCACGATCACCATTTTCACGTGGTGCACGCTATGATGTAGCACCCTCACAGGGTGATGTTATATTCCATAAAAAAGACGATGATGAGTTTTTCCAAGGTTTGTTAATGTCTGTCAGTCTTATATACATTAGTCTACCATCTTGTGCCTATTCTGTCATAATCAGACTTCTATAAATCTTATTTCCTGTATGTTGGTTTCAAGTTTTCTGATGATAATGTACTATCAAACCTTGTTTATGATGCCCATTGTTGAAATTCAATTTTTAATTGTGCCCATGAAATTTGTAAAGTATTGAGTATTAAATACTGAATATTAAAAATGATTTTCTTTATGTGTGTAATACTAAGCATTTATTAATATGTTGTATATCATAAACTAGTGGAAATTATTATTATATTAAATTTGCAGTTTTTTTTGTTGTTTATTACGAGTTACAATGATGACATCACTATAATTATTATTAACTGTCTTGTTTCTGTTGCATTTATTCTGTTGTAGTTGCACAAGCTGCATTTATACTGAATAATAGTAAAGGTGATCGTCGGTTGTCAAGAAGATCATTGGATTGTAAGTAAAATCAACATTTTAGCTTTGTATTTTTTTATACCATACAGATTGAAACAGAGGCAGACAATTGTATAGAAGTAACTACTATAAAGATTGTGATTTTATTTGATTTTATGATTGTTTTAGTAGATTCAGAAACAAAATTTAAATATGTTATTACATATTTTTCTGGAATACCCAATATAGCTTTGAGTGCTTATTTTGGTTGGGGTCCATATAAATAGATTTTATTCTTAAAATTTTTTTTTTGGATGATCCAATTTTTAAACTAATAAACATGTTAATATATAAGTCTTTTATTTTTCAAGCTTTAGCTGGACCCAGCTTAATCTTTTCAAGGAATTAATAATTTCTGTTGCTCTTATTAGATAATAGCAACAATAATCAAACTTTGAAAAACATCAGGTCATAGCAACTACATTATTTCTCAAGACCTGATTTATTTAGTCAATAGGCATTGCAACTGATTTGATATGCATTATTGTATAGGTGTAATTTTGCCCTACCTGACGTGGAAATGTACCGAATACTCAGTACATTTAAAAACAACTGCAAAAAAAAGTTGTTCTCAGGTGGGACTCGAACCCACGATCTCCAGATCACTAGCCTGGCATCATATCTAGACCACTGAGCTTGCGCCTGATGGCCAGGGTTGAATTCGAGTCCAAGTAAGCAGCGGGTACTGCAGTGTTGATAGTAATTGTTATTGTCGTGATGGAATAATAGACAATAACTGGATTTGCGTCAGGAGTAACATGTATAGATGTAATTTTGCCCTACCTGACGTGGAAATGTACTGAATACTCAGTACATTTGAAAACAACTGCGAAAAAAAAATCGCAAGTTCTCGGGTGGGACTCGAACCCACGATCTCCAGATCACTAGCCTGGCATCATACCTCTAGACCACCGAGCTTGCGCATGATGGCCAGGGTTGAATTCGAGTCCAAGTAAGCAGCGGGTACTGCAGTGTTGATAGTAATTGTTATTGTCGTGATGGAATAATAGACAACTGGATTTGCGTCAGGAGTAACATGTATAGGTGTAATTTTGCCCCACCTGACGTGGAAATGTACCAAATACTCAGTACATTTGAAAACAACTGCGAAAAAAATCGCAAGTTGTTCTCGGGTGGGACTCCAACCCACAATCGCCAGATCACTAACCTGGCATCATACCTCTAGACCACCGAGCTTGCGCCTGATGGCCAGGGTTGAATTCGAGTCCAAGTAAGCAGCGGGTACTGTAGTGTTGATAGTAATTGTTTTTGTCGTGATGGAATAATAGACAATAACTGGATTTGCGTCAGGAGAATCATGTATAATGCATTATTGTACTACCATCAAGGTATGATATGTTGCATGATCTGTAATGCTGGCCAGTACATGCAGAAAAATTTATTTGTATATACCTTTTGCCACAAATACACCATAGTATCTGTAGAAATAATGTGGTGCATATAGATGGTAATGTAGACAAGGGACATGGAGAGACATGTCATTGCTCACATGACAAACTTAAGCCGGTTACTCACAACGTGCGATGGCGACGTGACGAAGAACGCAGACGAAGATGCGGACGCAACGAATCGTCTTTTTAATGAGGATTCGTTAAGATTGCCACTGACAATCAGCAAATGGCGTTGCGTCGTCTATCGCTAGCCGAAAGCAAAGGTGGATTCGTCGTACGGCACAGTGAGTGTCTGGCTTTTAAACACAATGAAAGTAGATTGTGTTGAAAACAAAAAGCATGTCGAAATATGTGCTGTTGTCATAACAGACTTTTTGTGTGGTGAAGAACACAAATTTGTTTAACAATCAATATTCCCTTATTTTGATGCATTATTTTGTTTTCACAAAATAACAAAATCTACTTTGTGTTAGTTTGGTGTGAGCGCCGAATATATAAATAATGTTTGTATTTATTAACGAGAATTTATATAGATGACAGATAGAAATCTTTCTTTATTCTGGTAAGTGACATGTAATGTTGTATGAATTGGGCATTTATAATGTTTAATCATGTGAACAAGTGACATAGGGAGACAATATAATGGCGTGTACATTGGTGGGCATTACAAGTTTAACATCAACATTTATTGTGACACTATTAAGTGTATTTCATCCTGTTGTTTTGATTAATTTGTGTACGTTTTCATTTATTTATTTTTGTCTGTCAAATCAACTTAGTTTTCTTTAACACTCTACATGATAGATAAATCAGATGATAATGAGAGCCACGCTACAATATCGGAAGGTAATGTAGTTTGAAGACCCCAACCTTTTGTGCTTCTTCCGATTTCCTTTTTAAAATCCCAGTTGCAATAATTCTCAATGTTCAGATGTTGATTTTGCGTGCTTGTTGATAAGTGCACACCAGTTTGCTAGGCCAGCGTTCCGCAAACTTTTTACTTCACGGCCTATTTATGAGTCCAGACACCAAGCTACCAAGAACATGTTCAGTGCTGGACTTGCATCGTTGCATCTCACTACCACCAAGTGGCTCAGTGTACTGTACTACACTTGAAAATGAGTGCAGAATAACACGAAGTCAGCAATTACTATACTATAGTTTTAATTGGATATTAATATTGTATACATGTTCATACTAAATATTGTCCACACAGTTGAAACATTAGCGTAAATTAAAAACTTTGCTTTGTTAGTTATCTTAATAAATTATTAGTTGGTGATTATTAGTCGATGATCATACAAGCAAGGCCATCGATCCATGTGTCTGTGTGTTTTTGAAATATCCAATGCAAATAATAGCGACCGAAATAACCAAGCAAGTAAATTTTATGTTCTTTTACTACAGTATTATTGTTGTTGACATTAAAAACCCCTTATACAGTAACTCAAACAGCACGCATCATCTGGCACTTTAGCAGTGTGTGGTAAAAGCAAGGAGGTGCTGCGCATTTGCTGTAACAATGAAGCGGCTCTATTAAAACTATTTTCTACATGTTTAAACGTATCTTAGTTATTTTTTTTTTCATTATCTCTGATGGCTTTGCTTCCCTCCAAAAATATTTCGCGGCCCAAATTTGGGCTGTGGCCCGTGGCCCATAGTTTGCGGAGCGTCGGGCTAGGCAGTCAGTGCACAGCTTGCTAGGCAGGTGATTTCTGATCAAAAGTATGAATGTCATTAGTTGCCATACCAACAGGTTATTGCGAGCACTGATTGTCATTTTTAAAAATTTATGCAAAATGTCAATTTAAGTATATTCATTTCATACCATTTAGCATCTTCTATTTCAAAGATCTGCCATCTTATTTTTGGGATTCTATTTTTCACATTCGAACCTAGAGATGTTTTGCATTTGGTTTGTGAGTAGTATCAGTAAATATTGACTCAATGTGGCTATTCTTAAATTTATTACCAAATTCACCACTGCCAACTTCACCTCAGCTATTTTTTGTTTTGTTTTTACATGGTTTTTAGTTTTTTTGAATGTCATGGAGTTTGGTAATAATAAATATATTCTTTAGATCATTGCATAGGGTAATCTAATGTATTCAGCTTATATGTTATCTCTCATAAGAATGGCCAAATCAGCAATACCTGTTTCAAGGGTTCCGAGAAAATGTAATGGAAGTATCACTCAGCAAATTTACCTTTTGTTATTCCATATAGAGTCACTATATTAATATATCATAGTAATTAAAGAATTATTCAGCAAGATTACTTTGAATATTAAGGACTTTAATTTAGTAAAACACAATCCAAGTGAAATCTGATTATAGATTTTTAATTGTTTTTCTTTTGACTTTATGTAAATATAGTTGAGGATGGTGCATTGCTGCTGAGTAGTCGGAAGACTGATAGATCCTATGATCTGAGCATTCCACCATCTGAGGCACAATTTTCGCCACTTCATGAAAGCCGTGTTAAGTCCAACAACAGTTCTAGATCAGTTTCACCAAATGGCACTTTAGGTGAGTTGCAAGTTGATTTATTGCATATCCATATGTTGATAAATCTTCCTCGGTCTTCATATTTAAGTAGAAAAAAGTAAGCATACTGGGTTTTACCAAAAACAATATTTTTCTATTGTATATCCACTTTATACATGTGTAGTGGGTTACTCAATAAAGTGTGACATGAAGTGTGAAGTGTGACATGAAGGCCCCCTATACATTTGTATGTTTGAAAAGTGTGTAAAAATAAGAACGAATCAAGAACATTTTGAGCCTGAAATCGGTAAAAATAAAAAAAACATTGAGCCTGGGGAAAATGTCTGGGAGAAAATATCCAGGGGGAAACCAGCCTGCTCCCATCAGAAATATAATTTAAAGTAATAAAAATGTTAAGTTGACACAGTAGTATGAAAAATCGCAGTCACAGGACTTTATAAAGCATCAATTATAACTGATATATGTCCTACAGTCGATGTCAGAGACACATTATGCTGTTATGTATCAACAAAGCTATTTTGGGTCAGGGTACTAAATGAAGCAGCCTATGGAGTTTCCCTAGGTGCAGACAGCTCTATGGACTGCTGCACGAAAGTGCATAGGCAGTACGCCACTAAACGATTGATTATTGGACATCTTTATATACACATTTCCTTCACACTCGCAGATTCATCTTCTTTATCAATTGATACTCATGCGCTGACGAAGGTAACAGGAGTTGCCGAAAATTTCGCAAATAAATATTTCTATGTCTCCTACAAGTCAAAGTATCGTAGCAGTTTATTTTGTCTGCGTCTACCTGCTGATTTATTCCTACGATGAGACATACGTGGATCCACATCAACAACACCGATTGAATATGAATTTATATATATATATATATTACATTTACATAATAAATAGAATATAGAGTGCTCAGTACATGTAAAATACAGTATGCAGAGCGTAAATAATAAAAATGTAGAACTAGGCATAGCACTCTAAAGACTGCTTCATGTATGAATTGAGAGAATACAAGGATTGTACGAGTATATGAATGAATGCTATGGCAGGTGGATATGCAAATGAGTTAATTGTTTTTAAGTAGATAGTAGTTGTGCCTGCATTTAGTCAATAGTATTGACTGTCTGTATATATCGTATGTAAACAAAATTCTTGGTTGTGTTAAGGTTGCAGTGTTTTGTTTTTGTGGAGTAGGTCGATGCTCTGTCAATGATAGACCATTTGATATTGTAGGGTTTATTGCTGTCTTAATTTCCATATGTATTTAGAGAGTGCGGTACTGTTTTTGTGTTTGGGGGTGTTGAAAGTGATATTTTGGATTTCTGAACCATTCAAAACCTGATATTCAAGGTTTTACAGTATGGATAAAACTCTTCACATCATCACCAGCACCATTGTATCACTGGCTCGATACTTAGTAATGTTGAGTTACTTTGTTGTTATTTTAATTTAAACATCAGTTCTCATTATATGATGTTGATGAGGAAAAGCCCTATGTTCGGTTTATTCAATAGCATCAACATTATAGTTAGTGTGATTATATGATTTGTGTCCTTGTATAGTACTTTTACTTATAGTTTGTTTAAAAATTGGCAGCATTTACAATTTCGGTATAAGAAAGATCACAGATTTCTGAAATTTATTTGACAATTTACTTTAAATGTTGATATCAATGATTGTCACGTTGAATCATCCTTGCATTGTTATGCATGATATCCCATAATACAGTTGGAATGGATAATGAAGATGAAGATGATTTTACAAGTCCAGAACCAGAAGTCTTTATTCCAGGTATTCATAGTCCATCACCTTTGAGCTTTGAGTCAGACATGTTTGAACCCCCGGAAAGCACATCAGTTGAGACAACAAATACATCAAATTCTCTAGTGTCTCCTCAGGAAGGTATGGTTTTGTTAGACCATCATGGTGAAGGTATCAGTCTAAACCAGGCTATAATGGTGAAGGTACCAGACTATAATGGGGAAGGTATGGTTTTGTTAGACCATTATGGTGAAGGTATCAGTCTAAACCAGGCTATAATGGTGAAGGTATACCAGAATATAATGGTGAAGGTATGGTTTTGTTAGACCATTATGGTGGAGGTATCAGTCTAAACCAGGCTATAATGGTGAAGGTATACCAGACTATAATGGTGAAGGTATGGTTTTGTTAGACCATTATGGTGGAGGCATCAGTCTAAACCAGACTTGAATGTTAAGGGTATGGTTTTGGGGCTGCTGAAGGTATGGGTTTGATATTACTGTAATGGTGAAGGCACAGTTTGTTAGACCATACTGGTGAAGGTATAGGTTTGATAATATACTGTAATGGTGAAGGTATGGTTTTGTTAGACCATAATGGTGATGGTTGCGCAGCTTAATATTATCTTATATTATTATCTCAAAATTATTTTAGCCTCAGTTTTTAAGGTAATTAAATGCTTGCTTGTTTACCTGCAAACATAAATGAACGCCAAAAAGTAAAGGACCAACAATGACTGGGGTATACCTGTAGATCTTCAATTGGGTTTTAGTTAATTAGCTTATTATTTGTATATGTGCCAATGAAGTGATTTATATTTCTTTGCTAGATATCACTGTAATTTTAAATTAATATATTATTCATAATATATGAATATCTTTCATTTATATCAAACAGTGTTTGATAGATTTCAGATTAATTTGAAAGGTGAATTATTGAGGGACAATAAATAAACTCACATCAATTATAAAGCTTCTGTAAGATCCAACCGAACATCATGTTGGGCTTTACTTTTTATTTACCTTTACACATCCGGAATATCTAATACAGTAGAAAATAGTGTGTGTAGCAATAATGTTATTCAAATTTGCTTATAGTTATTTCTCTACTTGTTGACATGTTGCTGTAGAATCAGTCGGTATTGTTCTTCTAATTTTTTTTTTTTTTAAACTATGTTCTTATTTGTTAACACATGTTGTAGAATAAATGTTATTTAATTTTGTTTATTGTTATTTTTCAACAATATGTTGCTGTAGTGATTGAAGATCCGCAGCTATTCTCACAATCTGAACCAAACTCACCCGTTTCTTCACCAAGAGGTAATTTGTACAATGTGTGCCTGATTGATGTTTGCCTATTGTGTCTCTACTGTGTAATGTTCCTTATCTGTTTCTTCATTAAGAAGTTTGGTGTTATTAATAATTCAGTGTGTTTAATGTCATTCATACTGAGTGTGTTTGGTGTAATTCATACTGAGTGTGTTTGGTGTCAATCATACTGAGTGTGATGTCATTCATACTAAGTGTGTTTGGTGTCATTCATACTGAGTGTGTTTGATGTCATTCATACTGAGTGTGTCTGATGTCATTCATACTAAGTGTGTTTGATGTCATTTATACTGAGTGTGTTTGATG